ATGGGATTGGATGCTCCCAGTCCTCTCACCTTCCCTTTGAACAAAGCTAAGGAACAATTTTTCTGCATGACCATTTCATCCCCATAGAGCCTATGCACTCAGCCCCCTGGAACTACCTGAGGAAGGACCGGCTGGGGCCCCAGTGCCCAACCATTGCTCCATGACTGAGTTCCTAAAAGGCACTCAGGGAAGCCACAGGGCCCCTAATAGGCTATGGATGTATCTCAGCCCAACTTCCTCCCCCTAAGAGATTAACTGAAACATGAGGGAAGTCCACCAAGACCCAGAGCTGGTATACATGTTGCCCAGGATCTCCAAGAAAACTTAAGGGATCACCGATGCTGAACCCCTCTCTCTAGATCCTTATTCTAGGGCTCACTCTCCTGCACCAAGCTGCCTCTTGAGGTTTTCATGTCAACTCCAAGTATGATACAATTACAACTGCCACCACAACCCCCTTCATACTTAACCCCATGAGGTGGCAGGCTTCGTGGCAGGTTCCTGACGAGCATTAGCTCACTGAGCTCCCAGAACAAGCCTGTAAGGCAGACACTACAATTATTCTGTTTTTAGATGAGGATGCTGGAGTTCAAGGGGGTGAAACGACTTTCCCAGAGGGACAGAGCTGAGATTCCGACCCAGAGCCATCCGACTGGAGCCCACCCACTCAGGATGAAGGAGACCTCACCGCGGCAGCAAGGAAGGAGGACGCACGCAGCCTCAGGGCTTGTAAGCAGCATGTCCAGCGGCCAGAGGTTCAAATAGGGCAAATGCCGCAGGAACAGATTCTCCCTGCAGAGCCCAAGGGAGGCACCAGCCAGCAACAGCCAGGGTCTCACCTGACTCCCTTCCCTCCCTAGGGACCGCCCGAATGTGAGCTCATGCCAGGGCAGGTCCACGAGGGACTGGGCTGGGCTGTCCCCACCCCTCATGTGTGCTAGGGGACCCCAAGAATTAAATGACTCGGTGTCCCTCCCAGTCCCTGGCACACAGGCAAGTGCCTCTCAGCATATCCCAGCTGAGCACACAGGTGTCCGCTGACCCCTTGTGGTCACTTGTCCTGGTCCAGCAGCCAGGGCCTCAGCTGCACCCGTGGGGCATTCTGTCCTAGTGACCTCACTGCTCAAAGCGCTTTCCCATTGCTTATCTAGTGGAGGCCTTCCTACAACCCCAGAAGACGAGGAGAGCCAGGATTCTCATTACCACTTTACAAATGAGCGGCAGCGCCCTGGGCTCCAGGCCCAAATCCACCCTTAATTCCTCATCTGACCTTGGACAGTCAATTCCCCACCCATCAGTAAAACAGGACTGACCTGCATGAGGCAAATCTAAGTTTCTTTCAGCGCCCCAAACCCTCAAAGTGGAGGGGTGACTTACCCACAGCCAGAGTGAATCAGGGCAGACACTCCCAGATGGCAGGCAGCCCCACTTCCCCACACTGATGGGGAAAAGTGAGAGGTGTCACAGCAAATAAGAAAACTAGTTCCTCCACCCTTGTATTGTGATTGTGTGCTGAAGGCCCATGTGGACAGATGGACAGATGAGTGGATGGATGGATGGATGGATGGACAGATGGGGTGGACATGTAAGAATTTTGGGATCTCTCTCAGCTGCAACTGTAGAAGCCACCTGCCTCCCCCTGCTCCCTGACAAGCTGTCCATATAATTCTAGTTGCCTAGCCCCTTGGCAGACTGTCCACATTCACCTAGGGGTCTGAAGCCACTGTCCCTGCCTGCCAGCCTGGAGCTGGGACCTGCCTTGAGGGGAATGAGTCCTTATCCCAAACACCCTCCCTGCCATGGTGTTGACATCATGGGCAACAGACGTAGCCTAGGAGGAAAGTCAGTGGCCAGGGCCATAAACAGGAGGCCCACAACAGGGGCACCCCTCGCAGAGCAGTACTAAGTGGCTAAAAGTGAGCTTGGTGCTCACAATGAAGCTGAGGATCACCAGGGTGGCTGGATGGCACGGGAAGAGCATGGCCTGTGTGCCTCACACCCAGGTTCAAACCAGCGAACTGAGATCCTCAGCCTCTCTCTGCCGTGGTTTCTCACCTGTAAGATGGGCAGGATACCTGACATGAGTTGTGGTGAGGACTGAATGAGGTAAGATACAAAATGCCTCGCACATGACAGGTACTCAGTAAACAGAAATTCCCTTCTTTTGTTCCAGGTAATGGAAAAAATTCTGGAATGGGAAGGAACAAGGTCCATTGTGCACCCCCAAATTTTTTTAACCGAGAAGTTTTCCCAAGTACTCCAAAGTAGCAACATGCACTTGGTGATAGGACAGAAGGGAAGGAAACCTATTTTCAGCGACTATTAAAGATTCGTTCAAAAACATTTGATCTCTTTAAAAGTGAGTATCATTCACCTGTCCCCTGCCCTCAGCACAGTTCTTCAGACACAAAGGCTATCTGCACAGCTGTCGGGCAGTGGTCAGGTCTCTTGTGCCCCATGCTTCCCCCTCCCAAGTGAACACCTCCCTCATCCACATCTCCCTAACCCAGCCTACCCATCCCAGAATGGGTGATGAGTTCTACTTGGCCACATGGTAGAAAGAAGATGGGTTTTGGTCCAGTTCTCTTTTAAATAGCTGAGCTCAAGTACCTGACGTTTACAGCAGAGGCTCTGGTACCGCCCCTGGGAAATCATGCTCCGGTGCCTGGGCCCGCCTCTGTCAGTCAGAGTGACAGAGAGAGGGAGCTTGGCACACGGTCGGTCATTAAGCGATGATCTTGGGAGTGAACAGCCAGGAGATGGGCTTTGTCGTTTACTTGTTGCCCAATTTAGGCACAATTCTTATCTTTGAGCCTCAATTTCTTATCTATAAAACAGGGCTAATAAAACTAACTACTTTGCACAGGGTATAAATCTGCAAAGAAGTAAAAAGCTAACCTTTTCAAACAGTATTGCCTCTCTCTCACTTAGCAACTTTACATTTCCCTGTATGGCCCCGGAAGATGACTGGTTAGCCAGAGACGGGTAAGATTCCTCAAGGGAGGAACAACCTAAGACAGGCACAGTCGCAGGGGGGCCATCAGGTGAGAATTTGGGGATCAACAGAGGTGAGGCTCAGAACCTCACCCCCCCTGCTTTGAGAGAAATCTTCTGCATCCGTGGATGTCTTGCTGCCCTTGTCTAGCCTGGATTAATACTTAGTCCATAGGCACACACCTGATCATCTGATCATCTACATTTGCCCTCTTACAGCACTAAACTATGTTTTCTACCTTTATCTTGCATCTACCTACCACTTCAGCATTTTATTAAAAATAAAAATAATAATAATAATAGGAGAAATGTGGGATCAACATATAAATCAAGTACAAAAATCAAACGAATATTCATATTTGACCTGATTGTTTATAGTTCATAATGTGTGATCAAAACTGAAAGTTTCTGTGATGACTGCCCTTGTACTGTTCACCATGTAAGAACTTATTCACTATGTAAGAACTTGTTCACCATGTAAGAACTTGTTCGTTATGCTTCAGAAGATTGGAGACTGACGAGAATTAGGCTTGGGGTGGATTAATGATTGTACGTTGAGCATTGAGTCCCCTATACAGAATTTTATTGTTGTTAACAACCATTTGATCAATAAATATGAGAGATGCCCTCTCAAAAAAAAAAATTACCTACTTTGTTGGAAGGATTCAATGAACTATGTTCAAAAAGAGCTGAACCTTGTGCCTGGCATGTAAGTGCTCAATAAATATTAATATCAATATGTGAATAGTTTTGATTACCATGATGGGCTTCCAGGTAAGATTTCATTTGAACTAGGAGGTATGTGGGGGGCGGGGTATATGTGGTGTGTGTGTGTCTACTAAAGAATCTGTAAGCCCTTCTTAGCTTCAAGACCTTATTTCTTGAACATCTTCCCACCCAGCACCCCTCCACCCTTCTCTCTGACTTTCCTTCCCCTGACTTCCTTTTTCCTGCCCAGCAATTAAGCCGCCTCTCCAGAATCTCATCACTTCTTGTTCCCTAATTAAATGCAACATCCTCTGGTTTTTAACACAGAAATAGGTAGACTAAGTCCACGTGTACTCAGAGGAGAGTTAGTGACATGCCAATTTCCCCACTCATTCTACTCCCAGGGGTCCCTCGGTCCTCTGGGCCACAGCATGAGGATGCAAAGACCCTCAACCAAGGCCAGCTGTTCAGGAGGCCCATGTGGCTGAAGTCTGGCCCGGGGTAAGGCTCACAGGCTGCACTAGGTGACATCTAGGAGGTGGGGAGTCCTGGGGACAGTGTGGAGGAAAGAGGTTTGGGCTGCTCTGCGGGTCCTCTGAAGACTCCAGGACCCCTAAGCCTTTCCCATTTCTAGGTCTGGTGCCAAGGAAAGACTGTTGTTGAAATGAAACAAATATAGGAAATGCACCAAAACACCAGCAGCAGTTGATCAAACCGAAGAAATTTTTTTAGCAAATGAAGTCATATTGCTAGTATAATAAAATTCAATTATTTAAATCAATTATTCTGACCAGTTGTACTCAGTCAAGAAGAAAGACCAGAATCTAGAAAAAGATGGTTTGGCTCCCACTGAAAAGTAGCCTGCTCCAGTTCTCAAAAGGACGACCATAAGAAAGGAACATAGAATCATCACCAACATCTGGCAGCCTGCCCTGCCCAGGGCCCCCTGGGCTGGGGGCTCCCTCCAGCTTACAGGGAAGCCTGTCGGATGGCCCAGAGGGGCACGGCAAGGACGAGGATGAGGGGTGAGTGCGAGTGAGGAGGACTTCCTGAGGGAGAGCTCCCGAAGCCACCAAGAGGACCGAGGTCCTTGCCCAGCTGCTGGCGTGATGCAGGATGGCCACTCTCCACAGTCAGGAAGCCTGCTCCTAGTTCTCTGCCACTGTCTTGCTGCATGACCTTGGGCAAGTCAGATCACCTCTCTGGGCCTCAGTTTCCTCATCTGTAAAATGAGGGGACTTTGTTAACTTTGAAAAGATGTACTAGGCCCTTGCTCTGTCACTGTGGTGAAGCAGTAATACAAAGAGGAATACAGTCATTTACTCAAAAATACCGAAGGACTACCCTCACTTACTGGGTAATGTGATTACAAAGATGAACGACTCGGCATTGCTGCCCTGCCATTGAGACGTTCAAAAGCTGGTAAGGGAGACAGTGAGCAAACAAGAAACGGCCAGCCACACACTTGCTGCAGACAGAGGTGTGGGCACAGGAAGGCGTGGCCTTCTGTATTGGGGCTAGTGTCGGGGGGGTGGTGTCACAGAAGAGGTTGAACTGAATTTTGGGGGATCCTTTGTCCTTGCTCTCAGAAGACTGTACAATTCATCAGGGGTTAGAACAAATACCCACACAGCTACTATACAAGGCAGAATGAAGCCACCCCAGGTATTCCAAATTCAGGGGGCGCAGGGAACCCATGTGGCTTAGGCAGGGTGGGGAAAGGAGTGGAAGGTCAGAAAAGCTTTGCAGGAAGTGGCCTTAACAGGTGGGCAAAGAGTTTCCTGAGAGCCCTGGGGGCTGCAGGAGCATTCCAGATGACGGGCCTGCACAATAAACGCCACAACATGGGGACTGCCAGGGTTAGGGCTACAGTCAGGCAGCAGGACAACCAGGGAGTGGCCTGGCAAGGCAAGCCAATGGGAGCCCTGGTGATGACAGCCACTGGAACGCAGGCCCTGGGCCAAGCACTCCACATCCTCACACCAGCTCTTGCAAGTAGATTCCCTCACTATTACCCTATTCTTTCAGATAAGGAAACAGGATCAAAGAGGTTGCAAAGTCACAGAGCAGACAGATGGCAGAAATGGCACTTGTTGGAGGTCTGTCTGATGCCCCAACCTGACCTTACCACTGGAATGCCAGGCAGTGGTATTTCCAAGCCCCTGTCATCTAAGGTGCCCTGTCCCAGCACACCTGGACACCTCAGACACATGGCTACTAAAGGTCGATCTTTGCCTTACCCACTGGAAACTGGCTTGATTCGGCCTCCTCCTCAGGCAGCTAGGGACTATCAGGGTCCCCCCACCAGAACAGAGGGGGCAGGGCCAGGCAAGGAATATGAGAATTGCTGAGGGGTTTGTGCTACACTGTTTGCTGTTGCAGTTTATTGTTGTTCCACCACGGTTGGGCTGGCTAGCTCGCTCCCTCTTTCCCTCCTGTCAGCCTGATGTCATCATAGCCCTGCGGCAGATCATTCTGCCATGTGACTAGGGCGGCTGGCTTTTCTTGTCAGGACGGAGTTGGAGCTGGAGCTAGACCTTGTACACTCGCATGTTGTCCAGGCACTGCTGGAGGTTCACAGATTCCTGTTTCCAGCGCCCCAGCTTTCTGAGCTGGTCTGTCATGAACTTTTTTTTCAGGTGGTCATACAACTGGCTCATCTTTTTCTTGGTCTTGTCTGAAGCTCTTATCTTACAAAAAACAGAGGAAGTTAGGATGAAGAGGCTACTTTTCACAGCAAGAGAAGCACCTGTGCTGACACTATGGGGGTGGAAAAGGTGCCAGCTGGACCCATTCCATAAGTAATTTGACTCACTGGGAGCCTCAGTTTCCCTATTTGTAAAATGTGGGCATTGAGCTGGATAACCCCTATGGTACCTTCTGAGAGTCCACAGCCTATGAGCCTGATTTTGCCCTTAGTATCTCTATTTGAAGAATGGTTGAAGGAGGTAAGGTTGGAGGGTGGAGGGATGGAGAAAGGATGCATCTAGTTCCTCCCCATTTCCTTAACTCCTATCACCCTGCCCCTGGGACTCATTTGGACTTCCCACATATTGTGTGACATTCCCTACATCAACTGAACTCTACTTATTTCTTGCTCTATTATTTCTGTCCTGTCCTCAACAAGACTGTAAGCTCTAGGAAGGCCCATCCTCTATCTTACTTGACCATCTATTTACTCCAGTGAGCTAGTTGTGGAGAAGATACAAAATCAGCCACAGGTCTTAGTGACTACAACATAGTCAGGAAGGTGGGACACATGCCCAAATATTTCAAAGCAAGACAGAGAATGATAATCCTGAAAAGAAGCACAGAGTCCAAAGAATGAGATATCAAGAAAAGCCTCATAGAGGGTTGGTGTGTAAATTGTGGGTGGGTTTTGAAGGATGGGGAAGTGTTACACATGTAGAAACAGACCAGGAAGGAGGTGATCCTGAGAGCTGACATTTTAATAAACGCTCCTTGGGATTCAAAGTGTTGACGTTGTCTCAGGACTCAGCATAATGCAAGGAAAGGAGAGCTCCACAAAGGCCAGTCAGTGTTGCCCTGATACCTGACACAGGAAGCTAACATGCTGGAGTGGATCTTGGGAACAAGGCATGAAGAGGGAGGGTAGGCGACAGAAAATATGGACACTAACAGCCATAGTTCCAATCAGTGGTCTCTGAACATGGCTGAGTATCAGAAACCTTTCAGTTGTTTGCTAAAAATAGAGACCCCAGAAATTCTAGTTTGGTGGGGCTTGGATGGGGCCAAGGAATCTATATTTTTACCATATACCTGAGATGATGCTGATATAGCCACTGACAAGTGGCTGTTTCTGTATCACCATTTTCAAGTTCACACCATAACGGCAGGCTTTTTGGCCTCTCTAAGCTAGTGACTTCACCTTTAGCTTGACTTTTACTATGGACCAGTCTCTCGACCTCGCCATTATTAACATTTGGAGCCAAGTAATTCTCTGTGGTGGGAGGCTGTCCTGTGCCTTGTAGGATTTTAGCAGCCTCCCAGGACTCTACCTTCTAAATGCTAGTGGCACCACCCCACTCTCACCTGTGCTACCAAAACTGTCTCCAGACATTGCCAATGTCCTCAGATGGGCAAAACCATCCCCGGCTGAGAGTCACGGCCACAGATGAAGAGGTAGCAGCCCTCATCCCTATTCTTAGAGCATGCTCAGAGCAGTCCCAAGACTCTAGAACTTAGCTGTCCTTGTTGAGGTCCTGAGAAATCAGCAGCTAGCCAAAGCTGCCTCTTTCTCTACTGTGAGCACTTTTCTGGGAGAGAAACACTGCTGTGCTACCACTCAGGCCTCAAATCCACTGAGGTCCTACAAGCTGGGCCCTCAGCCAAGTCACTACAAACAAGGAGAAGATAGCCCCCATCCTTAAAGGAGAACGTCCTACGCTATGGTCACTTAGGCCGAGTTTGCAAGCCCACAGTGATGTACTATGTGACCTCCCGCTCTCTGAGCCTGTTTCCTGAACTATTAGACGAGGTAATAATACATAATAGACAGTGAGTACCTAAAACACACAAGGCCTCAGTACAGCTTTAAAAGAACTTCCAGATGGCTGGAGGATGGCATAGCCCTCTGGTACATATAAAGACAACTCAGGGAGTTTCCAGTTATAGTATCTCAGAAATTCTCACCCCACTTGCCAGAGGTACAATACCCGTCACCTGCTGGTGAATGGGGTTGGGCCCAACCCATCCTGGGCCAGTCAGAACAGCCCACACCACCTGGCCACAGAGATTGGGGCAGGGATGGGCCCATGACCCACCTGGGCCAACTGGATCCCTTCTCCAGGATTTGTCTAATTCAAGCAACAGTGGAAGCACCCCACTGCTTTTCTGGGTGACAGGCAAGGTTTCCTGTGGCCATGTTCCCTAGGGACAGCCACCCTAATGATGACGCCAACATGCAGAAATCATCAGAAAAGGAGATGAAGAGGGGAGAGTGGAAGACACATCTAACGGTATTGGAGCCTCTGGCTTTTCTCATCCCAGACACTGGTGACCCTGCCCTAGCTATCCTTGATTGCATAAACTCATCATTCTCTATTTTGCTTGAACTAGTACAAGTTCAGTGTGCATCACCTGCAACTGGGAGGATCCTAATACATCCTATTTTATAAATGAGCAAAGAGGAAATGTGATTCCCCAAGGTCCCACAAAGGTGGCCTACCCATCTCCAAGTGCACCCTATTCACATAACACACGCCATGAAAGTTTAGCAGAGAGAGAAACACCCAGGCCTCTCCTCTTCTTTTGGTCTCTGCGGCCCTTAAAAGGATCTGGCACCATCCCTCAAGCCTCCTGCAGGCTTCTTGAGGTCAGAATCCCACAGCACCATCCAGATTTGGCCCCAGAACATGGAGAGAAGTCAACAGAGTCAAACAGAGGGCAGTAGCTCAACTCTGGGCCACCTGCTCTGCTTGAAGGAGTGAGCATGTTCTGAGGCCGCTGTGTTCATCAGTCCTTTCCTAGTGCCCAGCATAGTGCCTGCCCGAGCACACTTCATGAATTAATCAATGGGGTCTGTGGGTGACAGCACTCTAGTTTCCCTCCCCGTCCTCTGAGAGCTTTTAGGGGAGGAAAAAAACTGACCCAATAGTGTTGATACCACTTCAAGCTCCAGGACCCAAGACCTCTTTTCCTGGGAGACAGTAGAACCCATTCATGGATGCCCTGAACAGAGAGGTAATGTGCTCTGAGAAAAAAAATGCCACAAGAGCCAAAAGACATGGAGTCCTTCTCCCTGGCTCCCTTGGCTCAGGAACAGCTATGGCACCTCGGGCCAATCAGTAACCCCTGGCTGCCTCTGTAAAATGAGGCTTGCATCATCTCCCTGTCACCTCTAAGATCTGTGATTTCCCTCCAGGCTACTGGGGAGAGTGAAATGAATATGGGACAAGCCACTAACACCCTCTAATACAAAAGCTTGTGACTTTACCTCCATCGCACAGATTCGTTGTGCACTGAGATTGTCCCGAATAATCACCCGAGATAAGTTGCTCTTGGGCAAAAATTTTTTCATCGCGGCTTCATTGGAATTCATTAAGCTGGAGTGGGGAAGGAAAAGAGGTACAGGTTGAGATGGCTGGGGCGAGGGCCAGGACAGGCCCTGATTTGATGGGGTCCTGAGGGAGTGACTGAGGCTTCTGCAGGCTTCTTAGGAGAGGCACAGCTCTGTCATAACTGTCCAAGGAGCAGGGGAGTTAGGCCTGGGTTACTTCTTAGAGAAAACATGTGCTAAGGGGTGTTTCTTGGATGTTGAGAGGTAATGCCACCTTGAGAATGCTGTAAAAGGGCCCAGACCAAACCCCAAGAGAAGTGTCCACAGGGACTCAGAACTGTCCTCAGAAGCAGTCATGTTAGGGAGAAAATGCAGGATGAGATGCGAGGTGGGAGTCTTAAACGAGAGGTGCAGAAATGGCAGGGGAGACTTCAGAGGGGTGAGTTTGAGGAGGGTTAAGGCCAAGGCTTGAGGAGGCTCTGGAGGGGGAGAAGTAGAACTTATGATGGGGTGGGATGGGGTGGCATGGAGCCAGGTTCTCCATGGGGCCCTAGAGAGAACAATTTGGTCCAAATGAGGAACTGGTTAAAAATGGATTATGCCAGGCACCGAGTTTTCACTTTTTGATTATTTGGTTATACCATGAAGTGGTTTTGCGAACATGTACCTTTAAATCTTTTGCCCATTTCTGAAAATAATTGTTCATATTTTCTTTCTAAAATGTGGAAACTATCCAAAGGTGCAATAGAAAGCACCTGAGTAAACTTTGGTTAGGTCATATAATGACCTATATGTAACTATGCAGTTGCAGATAAAACAGATATCCATAGGGGATTAGGTGAGGGAAAAAGGCAGGTCACAAAATAATAAACTGTTTTGTGACATATTTTGCCCCTAAAAATGTATAAGCATGTTGTAGTACAGACATATGAATGAATCTGGAACAATACACACCAAAAGGTCAACAGTGATTGTGGCCATTCATATTGCTTCTGTCTTGTCTGATTTTTCTACAAGTGTACACTCCTTTGATAGGACAAAAAAAGACAACATTTAAAGGATAAAATATTTTGAAGGATTAAAAAATTTTTCCTAATTCATTTTCAGCCAATTTTGGAGCCATGGTTTTATGAATGTTTTTACATTCAGAAACTAGTATAAACAAAGGTCCCCAATCTCCCATTTATGATGTTTCTGACAGCAAAAAAAAAAAGTCATGAGATGGAAAAGGCTGGTTTACAGATCAAGATGCTTACATATCAGACTCCAAAATCCTTTAAAAAATTAAATAAAGTATTTAAAGATACACAAAACACTCTCCACCCACTTAGTGGTGCACCAAATTTACCAATACTTCCTTGGAAAGTTTTTTAAAATGAAAAAGGAAGTGACTGGAAATATTTCCTTTCAAATAATAGCGGTCATTTTGAACCAAATTGTTTTCCAAAGCAAGGCCTCTGTGGGAGCCGAGGATGCTTCCAGGAGGGCTGTGGAATGGGAGGAGAGGAGGGCTTTGGGGTCTGCGGGGATTAGGACAGTGCCGAGGGCCTTTCCCAGGGACACCGGGGAATGCGGGGGCCGAGGGTGTCAAGCTTGAAGGGACCTGGTCCTCGCCGGGCTCCAAAGAAGTTCACGGCTGGCCAGAGGGATGCGGGGAACCCCGGGCTGCAGGATACATCAAGCCCGAAGGACTAGGGCCTGGGGGATTCTGAGGATACGTGGGTTGGAGGTGGGAATTCCCGAGTCTCCCAGGAAGGGGCCCGGGCTGAAGGCGTTCGGGCTCCCCAGGCTCCTGGGGTTGCGAAGAGTGGGACCGGGAAGGGGCTGGGCTCCGGTCTGTGGGAAATCCAGCGTCTCTGGGGGTCCAAGAAGGAGTCGGGCTGAGGAGCCCGGAGCTCCGGGGGAGCCAGGGCCAGGGGTCCAAGGGGCCGTCTGAAGGAACGGGGGTCCGCGGGAATTCGGGCTGCCTCCAGGGCCCTGGGGGGGGTCTGACGACTGCTCCGGGCAGTCGAGCCGCACCTGAAGAGCACCGGCGGCTGCGCGGTTCGCGGCCGCAGAAAGCAGACCTGCGGCGAGGTGCCTGCGTCGATTCTGGGACGGCTGCTGAGCCCACCGCGCCAGAAGGCCCGGCTCGGGGTGGCGCCGGAACTGGTGGTCGCCTGGACAGCGGCCGCCTGAGCGGTGGGCGAGCCCAGGTTCCACGTGGCCCACGGCCTGGGCTGCTGGGGAGTTGCGTATTCTTCGCTCGAGTACGACTCGGGAATAGGAGCAGGACCCCGAGCCATGGTTGGTGCGCGTGCGCGGACGCGGAGAGAGTCGCTGGACAGACGCTGTGAGGTGAGCGCTGCGCGTTGCCTGGGAGACGGGCGACGGGGGCGGGACCGGACCTACGCGGAGCCCGGGAGGCTGTGGACGCCTTAAGATTGTCCCTGAACGGCCGCCGTGATGCGGCCCGGCGTGTTGCCGTGGAGACCGGTTGGGCGTGGCGGAGCGCATAGCTGCCGGTGAAGCCGCCTTTACTTCTCAGTTAGGGCTCCTGTGGCTCCCAGCGTGATCCGGTGCGCCCGCGCTGGGCAGCTCCAGGGACTGGAGACGAGGCCGGGGTTTCTCCGAAGACCCGGCGCGGCCGATTCCTCCCCGCCAAGAGAGACTACAGCTATGGAAACTAGAGCGCCGGGCGGTCGGGGGTTGTGGCTGCCCGGGGGGGACGGGTCTTCTCTGTCCCCTAGGCCCTCGCCCGAGGCTTCGGGCGTGCCTGCTTCCTGAGTGAATCTGCACTTCTGCCCGCGGGAGAGGTAAGACTTCGGAGTCCTCACACCCAGGCAGGCGGAGAAACCCCTTTTCAACTCCAGCTTCCCAGAAACCTACCTGGCTCACACCTGGAAGCGGCGCCTCGCGCCCGTCAACCTGAGGACTTTGTTCCACGTTTATAACCCCGTGTTAACGAAGACCCCCGCGGTGTCTGCCGACTGTTCCCACAAAATGAGGTCAGAAAGGCTGGCTTTTGGATCTTGCTTTGTGACCCTAGACAGATCGTTTTCCCTCTTTCGACCTCACTTTCCCCGTTTGTAAAATGGAGATGTTAACTCCAGACACCGGCCTATTATTGTGTTGCTTTGAAGACCGAACCAAATGGCGGAAGCCAAAGGCAGAAAGGGCTGTAAAATGGTGAACGTGAGCTGCTGCGGAGTCACCGTTTCTCCACCTCCTTCCGCCTCAGCTAAACGTTCTTCTGATGTTTGTATGTTTCTTCTGGCGACCTTGCATCTCCCTAGCCCCTAGCCTGAATTAAAGTCCCTACATTCTTTAGTCCCATAATGCCCTGCATTTTTAACTTCCCTAACAACAGGAAGAATAGTAGAATAGTTATAATTTATGTCTAGGGCTCTCTCTGCACCAACCCTCTGTTAAACACTTTACTGGCTTACCTCCTTTAATCCTCAGACGATCCTTATAAAATAGGCGTTCTTATCCCTATTTTCCAACTCTGTTGCCCCTGTAATTGCCTGTGTAATGTCTGTCTCTCCCCCTAGACTTTGAGCTCTGTGACAGAGGAGCCATGGCTGTCTTTTATCCATTTAAGTATCCCCAGCACCTAATACAGTGCCTGACAAATATTTCTTAACTAGCATGAACTTGACTCCACCTCTTACTACCCTCATCTTCAGGAGCAGTGCCTCCTTTGCAAACTTTCTTGATGTGATGCACAACAGTCTCCTCTATTCCTGTTGCCCACTGGGCACTGGTGGACCCTCAGTCTACTTTTCTCTGGGTTTTTCCCTGCCCTCACAGTCCACTGAGAACAAATCAGCCCAGTGTGCCTTTCCTGGAGTGAGCCTGATGCATGTGACTGGGGCACTGACAGGTAGGATTGGCCTACTCAGCCTTGTCCTTCCCCTCCAGCAGCCTAGGAACCACCAGTCCCCTCCCCCAAATCCTAGAGGAACATGGCCAGAGAACTCGTCCTTACCTCTCAGAAGGTAGGGTTGTGGTTATTGGAGCCATTCCTTCATTCAGAAACATGTTTATCAAGCACCTGCTTGTGGGGACACAGAGCTTGGCACAGGTGATGTAGTAGGAGTGAAGAGAGTCACAGTGATAATACAAAAGAACTCACAGACAGGTCAAGGCAAAGCCACGTCTCCAGGAAGTGTTAGGAAGGAGAGCATTCGGGCTTAGAAAGCCTGGAGCAGGGACTTAATCAAATGTGGGGCAGGGCTGTGGTCCCAGGTGGTTTCCTCCAGGAAGTAACCCTTGGCTAAGATCCCAAGGCTCACCGGTACTCTGGTGAATGGAACAGATCAGGATCTGATGGGAAAGAGGGTACTGGGCTGAGAGAGTAGCAAAAGCAAAGCCCTAGGCCAGAGAGGACAGATGTCCACATGGAACTGCAAGTGGCTCAGCCTCACTGAGGGCTCTCAGGATGTAGGGAAGGCTAATCGGGGGCTGCAAGATGGGCAGGAGCCTGACCACAATAGGCCTTAACAGCCAGACTAAAAGGCTGTATCTCTTCCTGACAGTGGGTAGCCACTGAAATATATTAAGCAGAACAGAACTTGAGCTCTTTGTCTGTGCCTGATGACTGCCATTTGGCCTTGAGAGGTGTACTCTAAATCCACATACTCCTATTTCAGTGAAACACATGAAGATGTGCTGTCTGTACAGCTTCATTCAAGATTGGGAGAGTGAAGAGCCTGGGATTTCTTAGGCGAAGGCAGGTGTCTGCTCCTCCCCGGGGGCACATGCCCCAGCCCTGCTGCATCCAGCCTGGTGCTGGTATGGCTGGTCTCCTGGTCTCCTGAAGGCCTCTCTGCACCAGCCCCTGGGGGTTGCTGTGGTGTCCCTAGAATGCTGGCCTCCTAGAAGCTTTCAGCCATCCTCTGCCCCAGGCCCTCCTTAGAGACAAGGTGCAGGAGCATGGTTAATGGTTGCAAGACTCTGAAATTTGATGTTAGTGTCATAAGGGCATGTCCCTTCAAAGGGATGGTTCTTGGAAGGGGAAGTCGAGACGCTCCTCTCTCTCATACCACCAGTGACTTCCAGCACAGTGGGTTCAAGTTCCATGCCCCTGGTTCAGAGTCTTATGATTTGAGCATAAAGTCAGAAGACCGAGGAGCAAGACTGTGCAAGTCGTCCCACTTAGCGGGGGTGGAGGGGAGGGCAGGTTTTGAAAAGAAGGGAGAAGGGGGCTGTGTAAGCCTAACTGGAGAGTAAGGCCAGGGCAAAGCTGAGGGACACAAGTTGGCCTGCCCAACTAGAAATGTGGGGTCCTGTAAGGGAGGCCTTGAATGCCAGCCTCAGGGGCTTGCCCATGTCCCATAGGATAATGCACATTAGATCTCCTAAGAAGCATGCTGAAAATTTTTATCCCAAGAGCCTACTAAATGGATCTGGGGAGAAGCCTGGGTATCTGCATTTTTAAGTCCCCTGGGTAATTCTGCGATGGTCAGAGGACCGCCTCAGGGGAATCCTGCTGTAGACCCATCATTCATTTCCCAGAAACCCCCTGGGGTTGGCCTGCTGGCCCAGCTGGGCTTCTGCCCTCTAAACATTCTCTCCCTCCTTGCAGATTTCCTTGGACACAGCTTAGCAAACAGATGCAGCCTTTATGCCTCCCTGGCCGCTGACCTACCAGCCCGATGACAGCACCCCCGTGTACCTTCCCGGTTCAATTCCAGCAGCCTTCGGTTAGTGGCCTCTCCCAGATTACCAGCAGCCTATATATCAGCAACGGGGTGGCTGCCAACAATAAGATCATGCTCTCCAGCAACCAGATCACCACCATCATCAATGTCTCGGTGGAGGTGGTGAACACCGTATACGAGGACATCCAGTACGTGCAGGTGCCTGTGGCTGACACACCCACCTCGCGTCTCTGTGACTTCTTTGACCCCATAGCCGACCACATCCACAGTGTGGAGATGAAGCGGGGCCGCACGCTGCTGCACTGTGCCGCTGGCGTGAGCCGCTCGGCTGCCCTCTGCCTTGCCTACCTCATGAAGTACCACGCCATGTCCCTGCTGGATGCCCATACATGGACTAAGTCGTGCCGGCCCATCATCCGGCCCAACAGTGGCTTCTGGGAGCAGCTCATCCACTATGAGTTCCAGCTGTTCAGCAAGAACTCTGTGCACATGGTCAGCTCGCCTGTGGGAATGATCCCTGACATCTATGAGAAGGAGGTCCGTTTGATGATTCCACTGTGAGCCACCCTGCCAGCCCCTGCACCATGGTCAGAGGTTCAGGTCTGCCCTTGATTCCACACTGCAACTGAACTTAAACATTTGCCTCTGCAGATACAGAAACACGCAGATGATACCTTTTACAAAGGCAGGAAAAGAAAGGGTGTTGCAGGTTTTAACCTTGTAATCCATATCTTTAAAGATTAAACTCACTGAATTTAAGCTGGTGAAGGTAAGTTTCCTATCTGGTGAGTGACAGGTCCAGGCTGCTGGCTGGAGGGGAGAGTGAGGCAGATAGTACCCAGGTCAACTGAACCAGCGCTCAGAGCACATGGCAAGCCTGGAATCCTGCTGCACTCCCCAAATGTGACTAACCCAGGAATGAGTGCTACAATTCCACCTCATCCTTTCAAACCCAAAACCAGAGCCTTAAGAAGCATGGCACCTCCTGCTTGCCACACAAGTGCCAACCTACTCAATAACTGGCCTTTAAGCAGTGTCCTGGGAGCCCAGGCCAACCTTCAACCACAGGGGCCCAACTCTGGTTTTCGAGCTCAGATTAACAAATAAGATAGTTTTTAGAGAAAGCATTCCACTGTAAAATGTTTTTTAAATAATATTTTTTGAAGGGCTGTTGTATGGCAAGGCCTCAAATGTCCTCGACCATCCCTCACCAGCCTTTGATGAATGGAGGCATTAGTTTCCTTCCCTGGAGCACACGTGGAGTACAGGCCTGACATCAGGGCTCAGAGTTCCTTCACACACGGGCCTTGGCTCGGAAGCCTGGGGCAGCAGCCTGGAACCTAGCCTCGCCCCCTCCTCCCGTGTGATCTGGGACCTCTCGGAACCTCATTCTCCTCGTGTCCAAGCAGGGACAGCCCTTTTCCTACAGGCTGGTCGTAAAGATTCAACGGTTCCTTAGCAGGGGGCCTGGCACATGGTCGGTGCTTAGTGTAACTGGCAGCTCTCGTCATGGGTGACACTCTGGCCCTGCTGGTCCTGGTCAGCACGGTCATCCTCATTTCCCCCCTCTGCACAGCCCTATACTGTTTACAAAGTGCTCTTCCAAAAAGTCATCGTGTGTGGAAAAAAAACTGGTTTAAGCCCTTTCAGACTCTACCTTGGAGGAGACTTAGACTTCAAAGCCTTTTCAGAGTTCCACTGCGATGAATCCGTGTGTGCCCTGGGGGTCCTAAAGCAAGGCGCATGCTTCCAGCTTCCCCCAAAAAG